TTAGGTTTGCAATGTGTTGCTAAAAAACAAAAACAGCAACAAAAAGAAAGAAATCTGGGCTTTGATCTATCTACTTTAAAAAGTTATTAAAATTTTTACAAGAGGTCATAATAAGATCCATGGTCTAAGAAAGAAACATTTTGTTGTAAAGCAGTTTCCTACTTATCCACAGGGGATGTTCCAAGACCCCCAATAGATGCCTGAGGCCATGGGTAGCACCAAAACCTATATATACTATGTTTTTTCAGTCTGATATCTGACATGGCTACTAAGTGACTAATGGGCAGGTGGTAGCATGTACAACATGGATGTCCTGGACAAGGGCTGAGTTACATCCCAGGTGAGACAACACAGGATGGTGAGTGATTACATGACACTACTCAGAACCACATACAATTTAAAACTTAATGAATTGTTATTTCTGGAATTTTCCATTTAATATTTTTGGGCTGTGGTTGACCACGGGTACCTGAGATCATGAAAGCAAATGTGTGGAAGGGAGTACTACTGTAATTCAGAAGACACATTGAAAACTAGAAAGGCTAAAGTCAAGGACATCAGTTTAAAGGCCACTGATATAGTCCAGATGTGAGAATCTGAACGACAGTTGCAATAATGGCAATAGGGAAAAAGACACAGATATGTTGCAGAAGGATAACCAGAGTCATGCAATAGTGGATTGATGTGGAGTGTTGGATAACAGTAGATCATGACAATAAGAGAGAATAAAGGGTCTCTGAGGTTTTGAGTCTAGGCACCTAGAAAGATGTAGAAGCCAATGCAGCAGAGATCACAGAGATGAATACAATTTGACATTAATTCCCATATGTTGCCTATTTGCCTCATATGGTTAAAGGACAAAGTTGCTCTAGTACTCACTGCTTAGAAATGTTATAGTTGATTATCATTTAAATAAAACAAGAGGAGAGAGATCAAAAATATGTAACTTCATGCTCCAATTTATTTAAATGTATAACAAAAATCTAAAAGTCACATATGCCTCTGGGTCTTAGGGTCTTCATTTGGTAAAATGAATGCGTTGGATGATGATGAGTTTCTAAAGTCCATTTTGGATCAAATTTTATCATTCTTTGGTCTTGTAATGAGCTGAGGATACGTGTTAGAGGTGACATCCAGGAGGCACCTGATAAGCCAAGAGGTCCAGAGCTTATAAAAGATACAGAAATGGTTCACAAATATGTGAAAGCTGAAGTCATGGGATGGGGTGAGATACTAGGATTCTATAGAGAGACATGAGGACAGATTAGTGTGTTCCATCTTGTGGAATGCCACTTCCACCTATCCAGGGACCCAAGCCAGAAGAAACCCAGATGTCATCTTTGACTCCTTTCTTTTCCTCACTACTCATCATTCCAACACCAAATCCAACTGATATCACTTCCAATCTATTCACTCCTCTCCACCCCCACTGTCGTTGTTCTAACACACACTACCATCATTTCTTATATAAATGACTTAAATCGCCTCTTTTTAAGGAAAGTAAGTTGTTTTTTAAAGTAATGCGTATATACACAGCACAAAACTTTTAAACAACCAAAGATATAGGATAAAGTGTTTCCCTCCCACTCCTGAGCCCCAGTGACACAGTCCCTCCATGAGAGGAAACCAAGCTAACAAAGTTTTGCAAGTCCTTCAAGATGTATTTTACACATATACAAGACTATATGTGTGGTTTCTACATGTTGGTTTTCTTTCCCCATTCTATCGACACTGTTTTGTATCTTGTTCTGTCACCTAATAATACATCTTGGAGATTATTCCATGGAAGTACACATAGGACTTGTTCATTACAATAGCTGCTCTGAATGGATATATTATAATTTATCTCACCAGTTCCAATTGATGGACACTTACATTTTTCCCAATCTTTTGCTTTTACAAATAATGTTGCAATAAACATCTTTTTATATACTTTATTTCTCACATTTGCAAATATTTTTGTAGGCTAACTATAAGTTTATATTTTATCCTCCATTTCACTGGACAGTACCTGGTATTGATTCCATACTATCAAAAATGATTGAATTAACTAGTATATTTCCATTTCATTTCCATTTTCTTTCTTACTCCAACACCTAATTTTAGTGAATTAAAAATTTCCTTACTAGTCATCTTTACAATTTTAAATATATTTATCCTCTATTTTGTCATTTATCAGCTTTAAATAACCGTTAGCTTCCAATTATAAAAAGTGCTCACATTGCCTCCCAACTTTTCTCCCACTTCCCATCTTTTGTTTCTTATCTTATTTTTCCTTTGTCATAGTTTATAAAATAGATTCCATTCTAACTGCAACCCTCATGTATATTTCTACCTTAATCTCACATTTAATCATAATGGTACCTCACTGCCCCTCCTTCTGCTATCGTTTCTGCATGAATCTTTTGGTTGTTGAAGTCTTCCATCTGCTTTGAAGACTCATGTAAATTATATTCTCTGGGTTTCTGTATCTACAAAGATGTCCATTATCTTTATACTCGAAAGATATCTTGGCTGGAAATAGAGTTACTTGAATCTACACTTTCTTTCCTTGAGGAATTTTGAGCAATGTTTCATTATCTTCTAGTACTGACTGTTGCTGTGAAGACGTCTGAGCCAGTCTGATTTTTTTCCTTATGAGCAATTGACCTTTTTGTTTGGTTGCTTAAAGGAGTCTTAATTGTTGAGGTCTAATAATTTTGTTAGAATATGATATCAATGTTAACAATTCTAAGTCAAGTTTTCCTGGGCTACAGCATGCCTTTTCCATATATAAATCCAAGACATTTTTTGTTTCCTGAAAAAAGTTCTTAAATTATATATTTAAACATTATATCTAGTCCACGCAATCTATAATCACTGGCATACATTGGGTCTTATCTTTCCTATCAGTTATTTTTGCCCCTAATTCTTCTAAATTTTGTGTGGATTCTGTTGCATTTTTCTTAATTCGATACTCCATGTCTCCAAAGTACTGTCAGTTATGTCTAGTCTCCTTTGGGTTGTTTCTAATGAGACCTTCATTTCTATAATAGTTTCCTATTTTTCTTCCATTTCTTCCCTGAGCTCATTTTTCCATTCCCTCTGTGGTCCCGGTATATCTTCTTGGAGCCCTTGGCACTCTTTGTTTTGAGTTCATATTGACAGAGGGAGTGCATGATTGGGGTTTGTTGATGTTTTGTTTTATTTTTTAATTCATGCTTGTTCAAAATTTTTATATGATTTATGGAAACTTTTTTCCGATGAGAGTTTTTTGTTCTCTACTTGTTTTGGTGTCTACTGCTCCTTTCCTCCTTTTTATGGTAACTTATATAGATCCTGTGCTGATTCCTTTTTGATTACTGCTCATGTTTGAATTTGATGAGTTCTTATGATCACTATTGGTAGGGGGTTTATAAGTAGAAGGAGCCAAAACCATGTTCTGGATTAGTAGAAATTCTTCCCAGTTCATAGTGATATTTCTTATGACACAGGGCTATGTGTACAAGTTTTCTTTCCTTTTACTTCTCCCCAGTCAACAAAGATTAGTCGCTATATGGCTGTACCCAATGCAGAATCTCTCTCTTCCACTTTATCCCACCAATAAAATAAGAAAATAAGAAACCAGAGATGGCTTATTAGTGTGATTCTTCACTTATTCTTACCAATCCTGTTTCTCATTGGTATTAACTAGGTCTGGAGATGCTCCCATTGCCATATTTCCATTATTCCAAATAGGAATTGTTGCATATTTTCCCTCAGGGAAACTTTTCTCTACCTGAAATATACAGATGCAAACAACACCTTTCTGTATCTGCCTGTACTACTCTCTAACCATAACTGCTCTTGGTAATATTTCCTTGTATATTGTGATTCAGGGTTACAGATTTCATCTAGTTTTTTGCAAAGATGTAGCTAGCATTTCTATTTCTTGTTCTTGCCTTGGGTTGATTTCTGAGAGAATAGGAGAACAGTACCGTCTTCACTCGACCATTTTCTTCTCAGTCTGCCTTCCTCCAGTCTTCTCCTCCTTCAATCCATTTTCCCAATTACAACTAGAATGATCTAAACTGCAAGTCATATTCTGTCCTCATCCTGCAAGAAATCTTTCAATGACTCTGCATACTCTTGGGATAAAGGCCCGACATCTCTCTGATATGACAGCCATCCACCTCTCCTGCCTCATCTGTTATTATCCACTGCCTTCTACTAAGTATTATAGCACATTGAATTTCTTAGTTATTCAAACTCCTCATCATCTGTTCTGTCTCCAAGCATTCAATGTGCTCTTTTCCCTGCCTGTAATATAATTCTCCTAACACTGATCACCCCCATTCACTTCTTAACTCTTAATAACCCTCCAGCTCTCAGCATAATAATCATGAGCTGCCATTTCTTATTGTTTACTAAAGCATTGTGCTAAGCAATTTATCAACATATGTAATAATTCATTTATTTCCATAGCAACCCAATAAAGTGAGTTCATTATAGTCCCCATTTTAGATATGAAAAAACTGAAGCCTGGAAAGGTTAAGAAATGTGTCCAAGGAAACAGAGCTAGTAGATGTTATAGCCACAGCTGAACTCTAGCACTCCAGAGTCCCTTTAAAAATGAACAGACTATACATTTGATTACATTTATGTCACTTCTCCTTACCCTTTAACTTTGGGTTACGTGCCTCTTCTCTATGCATCAATAACTGTTCATACTTCTCCCATCATAGCTCTTAACCCAGTGCATTATAATGATTTATTTTCTTGTCAGGGCCCCCTGCTAGAATATGAGATTCTTGAGGTTAAGAATTATGTCTATCTTGTTTCTTATTATAACCACGTTGCCTGACACATAGCAATTTGAAATGAAAAATGATTTTTCTCCTCAGGAGAAATAAAAGATTTTTTTAATAGTAGGAGAAGGTGAGAAGAGGTCAGTACACAAAAAAAAGCCTCTCTCTCAGCCAGGCCATCAGAGATAATAACTTCTAATAGTGATGAAACTTCACCATTGTCAAGTCACTCACCAGTTCTAGACAAGCAGTCCCACCAGAGCAGGAGTTCTACCAGAGACATCTCCTCTTCTTAGCTGAGAAAGGTAAGGAAACAAGGGAAGAAAGAGTTTATGTTGTGATAACATTATAATATACAAATTTCTTGCTTTAAATATTAAAAAAATAGTTTCTTTTAGGAAAACATCCTTGGGTACAGGATTCAGAGTCATAACAAAATATTAGGATGGGAACCATTGCATTACTCCACCTAATCACACAGAAACTATAATAGAAGAATGGACCAACTAAAAGTTACCTTAATCTAGATCTGCATGGGATCACCTATAGCTGCTCTAGGATGGATCAGGGTGGGAGGATGGATAGTGCTCCTCCGTCACAGCTGACAGCATCAGGGCCCCCTGACCTTCCTTTGCTTTTGTATTACTCCTTGTCATGGCATCATATGAGCCAATTTCAACAGAAACACACTCATCCGGTCTTCCTTGGTAAATTAAACAGCTCCTCTACCATAAGTGCTAAGGAGTTAAAAGTTACAAACTCTTTCACATTAGGAAGCCACAGATACCTCAAGTCCTTCAACTTAAAAGATGGCATTTGCCAGTTTCCTTCCTCAGTCTGGACAAGCACTCACAATATCCACATCCAGTTCTCACTTACCTAGACTCCTCTAGCCTACCACTACAAAAAACAAAACACCTCTAAATTCTCTCTCAGTTTAGCTTAGGGTGGCTTTTTGCCCTTTCCTACTCCGAAAAATTAAGCTATGTTTTTTTTCTTTTTTATATTTCCCTTGAACTCCAACCAACAAGTTTGTGGATCTCTCTCTACAAGGAAGCAAAAAAATTGGTTCATATTTATTCATAACAATTATAAACATATCTAATGCAAAACATATATAGAGCTAAGAGATCATACATTTAAGGATCTATGTTAGGAGGTATGTCTGGCATACCCCCCTGCATCCTCTCTAGCCCTCTCCTGGTCTAGAACTAAATATTTGGATCTCAGGTGAAAATCATTGAGCACTATCAAGATCTGACTGTAGGTAAAGAATTAGGGGAAGACATGTATGCAAATGTAATTAGGGAAATCTTAACTAATAAATTAACAATCTATATAAACTTATAAAATGAGGTGATCAGAAAAATTAGTGGTTTTGCATCTGGTGTCCCCAAATTCACTCTGAAATTTATAAAAGTGGCACAAAAGTTTATTTGCTATCTCAAAAGCCTTACGAAAACATTTTTAAGACTTAAGATTATATAATTCAGGTTCTGCTTTTGAAACGACAGAATGAGGAACTTGGTGAGTTTGCTCTTCCTCTAAAACAATAAAAATATGGGTGAAACAACTGTAATGGTTTTCTATGTCCACTTGACGGCACAGCAGGATATCCAAATTAAACACTATTTCTGAGTGTGTCTATGAGTGGGTTTCCATATAAGACTAGTATTTGAATCGGTGGACTCAGTTTGTCCTCCCCAGTATGGGTGGGCATCATCCAATCCATTGAGGTCTTGAATAGAACAAAAAGGCAGAAGAAGAAGGAATTTGACTCATTTTTCTTGCCTGCCTGCTTGAGCTGAAACATTGGTCTTCTCTTGCACTTGGAATGAGATTTACAATACTGGCTCCCCTGGTTCTCAGGCCTTTTAATCTAAGTTGCACAACTAAAAGACAACAAATCATGGGACTTTTCAACCTCCACAATTGCAGGAAACAATTTCTCATTTTATATATATGGCATTATATACATGTGCATGCAACTAACCAAAGCCAAAAAGGAAACTGGAAATCACCTATCAAGAAAAAACTACTCAACTTTGGTAAGAATGTAGGGTGTCTGTGATGTTTCAACTTGGTGCTATTCCCATCACCCCTCCCTCTCCAGCTCAATGGCAAAGACAAAGGCCAAAAGCCAGCATCTTTGGACACAATGGAAAGATCTGGGAGGGACTAACTGTTTTTGGAATTCCATAAAAAGAACCATCCCTAGGATATAGTAAATGTTTTGTCTGAACATGCAGCTCCCAGAGAAATCTCAATTCTCAGAGTGTGGTGGCCATTTGGGTTGCCTCTGAACTCAGCTCTGCAAGTGTGTGGTGGGGGTGGGGAAGGATACCCCTGGAATATTATCAAAACAATAGCAAACTGCTGGCAACATTTCAACTGCCTAAGGCTATGCTGCCAGTTGAGGCAAACAAGAGCCTAGCCCAGAATTTAAAAGGAAATCCTTGAGAAGTAGAATTGCCACCGGGAATTTTGAAAAGCTCCAACATATTCCAAGGGATTTAAAAGGCTGTGCACATGCCAAGGAAAGATTGGCAAAGAAGGCATCACCCACTCATCTCTGACTAGCCTTAAGTCCAGTGTAAGCAGGGAATAAAAGCAGTCTCTTAAATTGCCTAAAACCTGAAGGTATGGCATCTCACATAAAACCCCTTGACAAAGGATAGAAGACATACTAGCAAAACATTAATGAAATCTTCTAACCAATCGTAAGCTAACCACTACATTATGCTGTTCTAAGAGTGACCCCTAGAAAGCTAGGGCTTAAAAATAAAAACAAGAACTTTAAAAAAATAAAAGGTAGCAGTGAACTGTGGTCACACACTGCAACACTGCAAGGAATCAGGATCTATAGAACTAATCCAAAAAATTCATGCAAAAACAAATAAGCAGCAACAAGAAAAAACAACAACCAAAATGGCAACAAAACTTAGGGGGTGGAAAAAGCTGATATTGGAGTTATTAAATATTATCTAAAATATCTAGTTTTCAAAAAAATGTATGAAAAGAAATGAGAAAATATGCCACATGCACATGGAGAAAAGCAACTAATAAAAAATGTCCATGAAGGAATCATTTAGACTTACAGTCAAGGAGATTAAATCAGCTATTATTAATGTGTCCAAAGAGCTAAATGAACCATGAACAAAGAGCTAAAGGAAACCAAGAGAATTATGTTTTAACAAATAGAAAACAGCAATAATAAGAAAGAAATTATAAAAAGAAACAAAATGAAAATTCCAGAGTTGAAAAGTATAATAGCTGAAATGAAAAATTGACTAGAGGATTTCAACAGCTAATTTGAGCACTCAGAAGAATTACCAAACTTGAAGATAGGTCAATATAAATTATTCAACCTGAGAAGCAGAAAGAAAAAAGAATGAATAAAAATGAACAAGGCCGGGCGCGGTGGCTCACGCCTGTAATCCTAGCACTCAGGGAGGCCGAGGCGGGCGGATTGCTCGAGGTCAGGAGTTCAAAACCAGCCTGAGCAAGAGCAAGACCCCGTCTCTACTATAAATAGAAAGAAATTAATTGGCCAACTAATATATATAGAAAAAATTAGCCAGGCATGGTGGCACATGCCTGTAGTCCCAGCTACTTTGGAGGCTGAGGCAGGAGGATTGCTTGAGCCCAGGAGTTTGAGGTTGCTGTGAGCTAGGCTGACGCCACGGCACTCACTCTAGCCTGGGCAACAAAGTGAGACTCTGTTCAAAAAAAAAAAAAAAAAATGAACAGAGCTTCAGAGACCTATAAAACACCATCAAGGGTACCACATGTGCATAATGGGAGCTCCAGAAAATGAGACAGAAGGGAAAGGAATATTTAAAGAAATAATGGCTGAAAACTTTACAAATTTGATAAAAGAAGTCAATCTACATTACAATCAATCTTTCAAAAGATAAAGACTTTTTGAAAGAAAGAATCTTAAATGCAGCAAAAGAGAAGTAACTCCTCACACACAAAGATCCTCAAGATCAACAGCCAATTTCTCAGCATAACTCATGGAAGTGAGAAAGCAGTGGGATTACACATTTAAAATGCTGGAAAAAAAAATGTCAGTTAAAAATTCTACATCCACTAAAACTATCTTTGAAAAATAAAGAAGAAATTAAGACTTTCCCAGATAACAAATCTGAGAAAGTTCATCCTCTGGTAGGCCTGCCATCCAAGAAATTCTCAAGGAAGACCTTCAAGTAGAAATGAAGGATACTAGATAGTAGTTTGAAGTCATGTGAAAAAAAATCAAGAACACTGGCGTCGGTACCTATATAAGTAAATTTAGAAGTTTGTGTTATATTTTTGGTTTGAAGCTCTTTTTTTAGATTATTTAAATGACAGATGCATACAATCATTATAAATCTATGTTAATGGGCACAAAATGTATAAAGATAATATTTGTGACAAGAACATAAAAGAAGAGGGAAAGAATTGTATAAGAGCAGAGTTTTTTACACTATTGAAGCTGAGATGGTTTTAATTCAAAATATTAATAGGTTGTTATAACTTTAAGAGGTTAATTGTAATCCCCAGGTAACTACTAAGAAAATAACTAGAAAATATATACAGAAAAAGAATGAAAAAGGAATCAATATAGTACACTACAAAAAATCAAACACAAAGGAAGGCAGTAATGGAAGAATTGAAAAACAAAAGATATATGATATAGAAAACAAATAGCAAAACAGCAGAAGTAAGTGCTTTCTTATCAGTAATTGCATTAAATGTGGCTGGATTAAACTTTCTAATTAAAAGGCACAAATTGGCAGAATGGATTTTTAAAAAAATGATCCAACTATATGTTGTCTATAGGAGACTCTTATTAGTTACAAAAACACAAATAGGTTGAAAGTATATAAGGATCAAAAAAGATATTCCATGCAAATAACCAAAAGAGAGCTGGAGTTGCTGTACTAGTATCAGAAAAAATAATACTAACATCATTTTTCACAGATCTAAAAAAATAATTCTACAGTTCATTTGCAATCAGTAAAGAGCCTAAATAGCCAAAACCAACTTAAGCAAAAAGAACAAATTTGGAGACATCACATTATCAGACTTTAACCTATACTATAAGGCTATAGTAACCAAAATAGCATGGTATTGGCACAAAAATAAAGACATAGACCAATGGAACAGAACAAAGAACCCAGATATAAAGTGATCCACATATTGCCATTTGATCTTGGACAAAATAGACAGCAATATACACTGGGAAAAAGAATCCCTATTCAATAAATGGTGCTGTAAAAATTGGATAACCACATGTAGAAGATTAAAATAGGATCCATTTTCTCACCACTCACAAAAATTAATTCAAGATGGATAACAGACTTAAGTTTAAGATACAAAACCATAAGAATTCTAGAAGAATATGTTGTAAAAACTCTTGTAGATATTGGCCTAGGCAAAGAATTTATGAAGAAGACCCCAAGGGCAATCACAGCAACAACAAAAATTAGTAAGGGGATATGATTAAATTAAAAGACTTCTGTATAGCCAAGGAAATAATCAACAGGATAAATAGACAACCTACAGAATGGGAGAAAATATTCACATGCTATACATCCAATAAGAGCTAGTAACCAGAATCTACAAAGAACCCAAGCAAATCAGCAAGGAAAAAATCAAACAACCCCATAAAAAAGATGGCAAAAGACATGAACAGAAGCATTTCAAAAGAAGATAGACTAATGGCCAATAAATATATGAAAAAATGCTCAACATCACTAATCATCAGAAAAATGAAAATCAAAACCACAATGAGATAGCATCTAACCCCAGTGAGAATAGCTTTTGTCAAAAAGTCCCAGAACAATAGATGTTGGCATGGATGCAGAGAGAAAGGAATACTTATACACTCTTGGTGTGACTACAAACTAGTACAACCTCTATGGAAAATACTATGGAGATTCCTCAAAGAACTATAAATAGACCTACCATTTGATCCAGCAATCCCACTACTGGGTATTTACCCAAGGGAGAAAAAAAAGTCATTTTTATCAAAAAGACACTTGCATTCAAATATTTATAGCAACACAATTCACAACTTCAAAGATGTGAAATCAACCCAAGTGCCCAACAGTTCATGAATGGAATAATAAAATGTGGTATATGTACAGCATGCAGTACTATTCGGCCATAAAAAATGAATTAATCCCTTTTGCAACAATCTGGATGGCACTGGAGACCATTCTCCTAAGTGAAGTATTGCAAAAATGGAAAAACAAACACCACATGTACTCACTATTAAATTGGAACTAACCGATCAGCACTCATGTGCACAGATGGAAGTAAAACTCAATGGAAATCATGCATATGGGAGGGGAAAGGAGAGGATGGATGAAATCATACCTAAAGGGTACAATGTATGCTATGTGGGTGATGGGCACACTTATAACTTTGACTCAAGCAGTACAAAAGCAATCCATGTAACCAAAACATTTGTATCCCCATAATATTCTGAAATTTAAAAAGAGAGAGAGAGAGAGAATTCATTGAGACTGTAGACATGAAACTGCTTCATAAATTACAAAGTTCTAAATAAATATATATGGCAAAAAAAAGCATGAACAAAAATAATAATAATATCAGACAAAATAGACCTTAAGTCAAAAACGAGAGAGACAAAGAATACATTATGTATTATCAATTATTATAATATATAAAAGGGTGAATTAAACAAGAATATATAATAATTATAAACATATTGTACCAAACAACAGAGCTCCAAAATATATGAATTAAACACTGACAGATTTGAATCAAGAAATAGACAGTTCCACAATAACAATTGGAGATTTCAATACCACACTTTCAATAATGGATAAAACATCTACACAGAAGATCAATAAGAAAATACATGAAAAAAAAAAAAAAAAGAAAATACATGACTTAAACAACATTATAAACCAATTAGACTTAACACACATATAAAGAGCATTCCACCCAACAGTAGCAAATAGATCTTCTACTCATGCAATATTCTCCAGGCTAAACCACATGGTAGGCCCCAAAACAAGCCTTAATATATTTTAAAAGATTGAAATCATATAAAGTATCTTTTATGAACACAGTAGAATGAATATATAAATCAATATTAGAAAGAAAACTGGAAAATTCATAAATATTGGGAAATTACACAACAGTCCTTTAAATAATGTGTCAAAAAAGAAATCCCAAGGAAAATGAGAAAATATCTTGAGATGAATCAAAACAAAAACACAACACACCAAAAACTTATACAAGAAGTAGCAAAAGCATCAACTCAGAAGAAAATTTACAGCTGCAAACACATACATGAAAAAGAAGATCTCAAATCAATAAATAATAATTTTGTAAAATTTATGCATACCTGTAGAAATAGACATATAAATTTGCATGGGAGAAATTCCCAAAGCATATACATCAAAATGGTAATAAAGGCTATCTCTTAAATGTTTGGGAATCTTCTTTTCTTTATGCCTTTTTTCCTTTTCTACAATAATTACATTTAAATTATAAAATGGAAAAATAAATCTATAAGATCAAAGCTCCTCTGAAGCTGCAAACCACAGCCTATCACCTATTTTATCTAAACACAGCGTTCATTTTTGCCCTGCATTTTAAAATAAATAATGTATATCATTCATAAATTTATATTCAACCAATACTTCTTGAGCACCTACTAGGTTCTAGGCACTTTATATAAATGATTTTACTTCACTGTACTTAGAGTCCCCTTTCTGCTCCTAAGTAGAAAGCAAGGATGCCCGTTCTCCCTGTCACATCTTGATCACAACTATTTGAATTTGGATTTTAAGTCTCATCTCTAATTGTTGAATGCAACTAAATCCCTATTAAAGAGCTATCTGGCATTGAACCATCAATCCTGGGTCTGCCTCAGTGATTCCAAGTTTTGGAGAGTCTAAGTAAAATGTCTCTGTACTGCCCTACTCCTGGAAGTAAAGAGCCTGCTAATTCTGAGGTGCATTCTTAAGGTTCATTTCAAAAAGACAGGGCCCAGTCTCAAAACCTGCACCCTACTGAGCAACACCATCAAGTGCAAATTCTTCACTTACTACTAAATATTCCTTCTGGTTTCTTTCTCCTATTCTTCTTACTCCCTTCCTTTCTGGAACTCTGGTTTGGCCTCCTCCCCCTAACTCTCCATTCTGCCCTACGACCACTAGATGGAGTGATTTAGAACCCGTTCTCACCTGGTCTTGGCTCCCTCTGGTGGTCCAGCCACAGAGCATACGTCTAATTCAGCATGAAAACGCCGCTCCCAGGACAGCTCTTCCCAGAGGGGGTAGAAAAGAGCGGCTCGCCTGTTCCTTGAGACGGGGAAGAGGACGCTCCTGCAGGAACGATCTGCCCAGCGGTGTGTGAGGGCGGGGCTGGGGACGACAGCCAAACTCTCTTCTCTACACGCTCCTCTTGTGAGGAGAGATCCGGATGAGCCTGGTAACGTGAGTACTAGGAGGACTAAACTCTTGCTGGTACTACTGAACACAGTACTGGGAAATTATAAACTGTAAAGCCAGTACTGAAAAATGTTTTTTTAGAAAAGTAAAAGAACCTAATTTGGCTACGTCACCACAATACCGGTTAGAGTCTAAAGAAGAATGACATTTAGCAGGACCATTTACTAGCATAGTGCCCGATACTAATACTCGACAGTACATCACAGCTGTGACTAACGACAAAGCACGAGTTTGATTTGATGGCAGCAGTAACCTCTGCTCAGGTGCAAGGACCCCCACACGGTTGCCGCCAGTTGCACGGTCATCGGTTAACATGAGGGGCGGGGGTGTTAATCAGAGGGGCTGTACCTGAGAAGGCTCATTTCAAACACATGGCCCTGAGCCTCCGGAAACAACAAGGCGCCCATACGCGGAGCCCTGAAGCCTAGTCCCTGGGGGAAGGGGGCTCTAGCTGCCAGAAGGCGGCGACCCGGTCTTCTCAGGACCGAGGGTCGCCCGGCGCTCGGGTTCGCGCTGCCGTGGGCCGACGGGCAGTCTTTTTTCCCCAGACCGTGGCCGGCGCCAAAACCTCAGCCAGGCGTCCCAGGCATCAGAACAGCCTGGCCGGCAGGAGGCCCCAACAAAGCCCGCGGAAATCGTGTCACGCTCCTGGAACGTCACCTAGACAACCCAGCCCAGCCCCACCCACAGCGCCTGGCAACCCACACCAGTCAGGGACAGCAGAAAATGGAAGAGCCTCCAGAAGAGGCTCCAGCTGAATCTTTGGAACATGAAAGCACAGCTGCGCCCTCATCTGCCGGCCACACTAACGGCCAGGCAGAAGACCACCAGAACAACCAGGCCAAAGGGGAGGCAGAAGACCAAACTGATCACAGAATAGCTGGCCAAAGTGCCAGAAAAGTGTCTGGCCAGGCTGAACTCACCATATTTGGTCAAGCTGATGACAAAGTATCTGAAGGCGATGAGAGTGAAACATCAGGCCAGGCAGACGGTGTTTATGCTGCTGATCTTAGAGCATATAATCAGGTTGGCCAAAGATCATTTGAACAGACTGAAGGCAAGGCATCTAGCCAGGCCTATAATGAAGAGCAGGCCTATAATGATGGCCAGGAGTCGGGCCTGACCGGCCAAAGAACTCCTGAACGAAGATCATCCACACTATCTAACCGAAAGGCTTCCAGACAGACTGACCACAGGATGTCAGCTGAAAGAATATCTGAACAGATTGATAATAAATTGCCCATGCCATCTGACCAAGGAGCTTATGAACAGACTGGCCACAGAATGTCAGGCCAGGCTGAGAGAAGAATTCCTGAGGAGATTGACCAAAGAACGTCTGGCCTGGCTAACCAAGGAACTTTTGAACAATATGACCTCAGATCGTCTGGCCTGGTTGACCATAAAACACCTGCAAAGACTCACTACCGAGTGTATGGCCAAAGCCCCAAACTACCTGAACGCCAGGCTGATCAACTTCCAGTTTACGAGGCTGGCTCTGGTGAAACTGACCAGGTTTACTCAGTAGAAAAACAATATGATCACACAGAGGACCACCAGGCTTACTATGGAACACTTGGCAGATTTGACAATAGCAAGAATTACAAAGAAGATGACTACAGAGTACAACCCAACACATTTGAGTACGGTCAAACAGACTTCAATGCCAAGCTTTCACATGAAGTAAAAGATGAAACTGAAAGTACAACCATCACCCAAGCCTACAACCCAGTTGATGCCAAATCCGCCAGTACTTTCCAACGAAAAAGCCAAGGCTTTTCCCAAAGAATCCCCTCCATCCCATCTACATTGACCTATATCAGTGGTAAAGGAAGACTTCAAGACACAGAAACCAACCTTGTAGGTTAAAGATGCATTTGATATCTATCTGGGAGGTTGGAAACCAAGACAGGGCCTGTAAGCATGGGAGTAGGGGTAAGGAGTAGGAGGACACATGTCAGGTCAAGGTTGGGGAATAAACCCACATGTTGTGGTATGTGTGACCCATAAGTTTCAGGAAGGATAGGAGAAGGGTTGAAAATAAAAGAGATGCATTGCCTTCTCTACTACCCGAAGGCCATTCAGGAAGAGTAAACAAACTAGCATTCAGGAAACCTGGGTTTCAAGTCCTGCTTCTGCTACTTTGTGATATGAAGTCATTTTCCCTCTCTGGGCTTCTACCAAGGGAAGGAATTTGGAGTTGATTAGAGATCCCTGTGAAGGGAACAGTATTTGAAGTTGATTGGAGGGGCTTAAGATACCTCCCAGAGTTTGAGGTGCATTATATTGCCTAGAGAATCAGCCAGGTCTTATAAAAATGTATCTTTTCTCCAACTTGTGATGTTAAGATCCCATCAACACCAGATTTCACTGATACCAACAACAATTCCTAGGGCTTTCTGGTTTATTAAAGAATCTTTGGGGTTGCATTTAAATTTCAGGATGATTTTCAAGAATTCCAGCAAAAAAAAAAATCTCGTTTATTCAGTCAAGTTTATCAAAAGAGGTTCCCTTCTGTAGTATATGAAGATCCTTATGAAGTTTCACTCCGATACATGGAAAAACATGGAATTCTGCAAATATTCCAGGTAAACCTCTCGATCCCTCTCTTTATGAGTTTTTCAAAAGATACAAGAAAGGGTGTATGCTGTACAAAGCAATGTAATGTAATTGAGAGGTCAGTAAGTGCAGTAAGATGTATTTACCAAAAGTAGTAAATGATAAATACCAAATGGATGATGCCATGATATGAAGCTCTTTAGAGGGATTTGAGGTCAGGTGCATTGGTTGATGGGGAAAAACTTGACACAGGTTAAAGTTTTGGCCAGACAAGGAAGGAAGGAAAAAATATTGGCAATTAAAGAAAAGGAAAAAAAAACACTTTCCAGGCAAAAGTATGATACAGTCATACCTCACTTAATGACATGGATACATTCTGAGAAATGCATCCTAAGGCAATTTTGTCATTGTGCAAACATTGTAGAGAATACTTACACAAATATTGAGAGTATAGTCTGCTACACACCTAGGCTTATGGTATAGCCTATTACTCCTAGATTACAAACCTGTACAGCATGTACAGGTTTGTACAGTGCAGCATGTTACTGCACTGAATACTGAAGGCAATGCTAAGTATTTGTGTCTCTAAACATAAACAAGGTATAGTAAAATTACAGTAGAAAGGATAAAATATGATACACCTGTATAAGGCACTTACTATAAATGGAGCTTGCAGGACTAGAAGTTGCTCTGGATGAATCAGTGAGTGAGTAGTGAGTGAAAGTGAGGGCCTAGGACATTACTATATACTACTGTAGACATTGTAGACACTGTACACTTTGGCTACACTGAATTTTTTTCTTTCTTCAATAATATATTAACTTTAGCTTACTGTAACGCTTTTACTTTATAAACTTTTAAACTTTTTTAACTTTTTGACTCTTGAATAACACTTAGCTTAAAACATGAACTCTTTCTACAGCTGTACAAAACTATGTTCTTTCTTTATATTCTTCTTTTTTCTATTTTTAAACTTTTTTATTTTTATTTTGTACTTTTTAAATTTCTTTGTTAAAAATGAAGACATGAACACACACACTAGCCTGGGTTTCCACAGGGTCAGGATCATCAATATCACTGTCTTCCATCTTCACATCTTGTCCCCCTGGAATGTCTTCAAGGGGCAATAACATACAAGGAGCTGTCATCTCCTGTGATAGCAATGCCTTCTTCTGGAATATCTCCTGAAAGACTTGCCTGAGGCTGTTTTATAGTTAACTTTTTTTACATGTAATAGAAGGAATACTCTAAAATAATGATAAAAAGTATATTATAGGCCAGGCATGGTGGCTCACACCTGTAATCCTAGCACTCTGGGAGGCCGAGGCGGGCCGATCCCTCAAGGTCAGGAGTTCGAGACCAGCCTAAGCAAGAGCGAGACCTGTCCCTACTAAAAATAGTAAGAAATTAATTGGCCAACTAAAGAAATATATAAAACATTATCCGGGCATGGTGGTGCATGCCTGTAGTCCCAGCTACTTGGGAGGCTGAGGCAGAAGGATTGCTTCAGCCCAGGAGTTTGAGGTTGCTGTGAGCTAGGCTGATGCCATGGCACTCTAGCCCAGGCAGCAGAGCGAGACTCTGACTCAAAAAAAAAACAAAGTATATTATAGTACATACATAAACCAGTGACATAGTCATTTATGATCATTATCAAGTATTATGTACCGTACATAATTGTATGTGCCACACTTTCATACAACTCACAGCATAGTAGGTTTGTTTACACCAGCATCACCACAAACACACATCATTACAGCTGCGTCACTGGATGATAGGAATCTTTAAGTTCCATTACATTAATAATCTTATGGGACCACCATGGTATATGTTGTCTCTCATTGACCAAAACGTCATTATACGGTGCATGACTGTACTTTCAAAAGATGACCAATCTTGTGACCATCTAATAATCTACATTTTCTAGGGTGAAAAAGAAACAGTTAAAAATTGCTTCTAATTCTTGAAATTACAAATCTCACTGACCTCAGGTTGTGGTGCTGGAACCTTCTTTAAAATATGACATTCCTTGACCAATATAGAATTATAAGAGATTATCATATATACACATATATGTATTTTTTGATATTTGGTGGGTTATCTTTGTTTGCCTTGCATGTTTATTTTTATGTTAATATTATTGACACAGCAATGAACATATACATGTAAAATAACATATGTACATGAAATAACTTTGTAGTTAGAAACATATAAAATAAGAATGGCTTACCTCAAATGAAGGCATTTAAACTGGAAATGTTTAAATTTAAAGAAATAGGAACTAGAGGAAAGAGCACAAATTTTGCAATCTGTTAGCCCAAGGTTCAAATCCTAAATTTGCCACTAGTTATCTTTGTGATTTGGATAAAATTACTTAACTTCTGAGCCTCAGATTTCTCATATAAGATAGAGATAAGTGATCTCTATTTCATAAACCCTGCTTTATGCCTTTTCTTTCTTTAAATATCCTTTTGTTGGGAGAGTACTAATGACTGGGTTTCTGGAATTATTAAGCTGAAGGGTGAAACCTGTTGAAGAAAGTAGAGTTGTTTTTTTTTGTTTTGTTTTGTTTTTTGAGACAGAGTCTCGCTTTGTTGCCCAGGCTAGAGTGAGTGCCATGGCGTCAGCCTAGCTCACAGCAACCTCAAACTCCTGGCTCAAGCAATCCTTCTGCCTCAGCCTCCCAAGTAGCTGGGACTACAGGCATGCGCCACCATGCCCGGCTAATTTTTTTTCTATATATATTAGTTGGCCAATTAATTTCTTTCTATTTATAGTAGAGACGGGGTCTCGCTCTTGCTCAGGCTGGTTTCGAACTCCTGACCTCGAGCAATCCGCCCGCCTCGGCCTCCCAGAGTGCTAGGATTACAGGCGTGAGCCACCGCGCCCGGCCTGAAAGTAGAGTTTTATAAATAATTTTATAAACAATTTTCTTCATCTGTCAAGAAAAATGAATGCTTATGCATGCAGTGTTGTTATAAGAAAAATTAGTAATCAAATATGTGTTTAATGGAAATATATATGAAATACATAATTGAATGATGTGGATGCATTAAACAGAACTGAATATTTTATACCTGAAATTTACCTGATTGTTATTCCCTGCAAATGAGAACTGTGCTTACTTTATTATAATTTTCTTATTTAATCAATAACAACAAAAAAGTATAAAAGTGAATCTTGGAAGTTTTTTATTTTTTTCAGTAACCTTTTTTTTCAGTAACCCTTTGTTTTTTTCAGCATATTATGGGGATGCAAATGTTCAGGTTACATATATTGCCCATGTCCCCCTTCCCCCCCCCTCGAGAATCTTGGAAGTTTTATATATACTTTCTCTTTTAATATTATAATACTGAACATCATTTTCAGTATTTAGAATCAAATGTCTCAGAAGGAAGTTTCTATGCAAAATCATGTAGTGTTTCAAACTTCTTATTCAAAAAGACTTTCCTTTGACTATTCTTTGAAGCAAATAGTTTTTTAATTTCTCTGTCCAGCAAGGTAACAACTCTCAAAACAAAAACTTTCTCCCACACTTTCTTACTACCTCTTTGATCTTGGAAACCAGTAAGAATAGCCATTACTGTTTATTACTAAGTATTTACTCCTCCGAATTTTACCCCTAATTTGCCAAATTTTATCAGTAGTAATAAATTTAAGTTGCTGCTTTGTAGAGATGCATGAATTTCTTCAAAATGCTATGGTACGTATTAGGTTAGTGGGAAAGACTGCATTGGATATAATCTAACCACATAACTTTGGCTCAGAACTATAATGTGATGCCTTCCTTATGCTCTCTCAGCAGATCACTGAAAACTTAGTCTATGAAAAGCCAGAGGACCCCCTGAATTTTATGCTGTACCAGGTATGCAATGGGAGTAAAAAAGCAACCTTCTTATTCCCTTTATTGTAAGTATAGCACACGTATAGCAAAGTGTACAAAACAAAATGTGTACAACTCTGTATTATCATGAAGTAAACATACCTATAATTACCATTCAGGTTAAAAAACAAAATAAAACATTACCAGCATCCCAGAAGTCCCCTCCTTTCCCTCAATTATTACTTCCCACAAAGGGACTCTTACGCCGACCTAATGACTTCCTCACTTTTCTTTGTAATTTTATCATTAAACCTTAATCATGAAACACTTGTTTAGATTTGTCAGCTTTGTGAACTGTGCATAGAGAACAGTTCTATCAGTCACTGAAAAGGGGCATTTACATCTTCTAATGTGATTACAGAACGGGCCATTCTCCTTTTAATTCTGTTAATTTTCCCTTCATATATTCTAAAATTCTGTTATGATGTATATTAATGATCATTCTGTTTTTCTGATTAATTGGCCTTTTTTATTATTATGAAATGTTCATTGTTATCCTTGGTAATATTCCTTGTCTTAAAGTCTATTTTCCCTAAAATTAATACATCCAGTTCAGCTTTCATATCTTCATATCTTTCATACTTGGTATATATCTTTCCATCCATTTGTTTTCAACCTGTCTGTGTTTTATATTTAAATTGTGTCTCTTATGGGTAGCACATGGTTGGGTTGTAGTTACTTTCTTATCTATTCTGAAAATATCTGCTTTTTAATTGAACCATTTAGACCATGTGTGAACTTCAGACCAGGTGTTTTTAAATAACACATAAGTTAAGAAAGGATTTACATTTTTAAAGTGAGTGAAGAGGAAAATGGAGAAAAGAAGTGGAAGTGGAATCAGCAGTTGTGACAGAGACAGTATGTGTCCCGCAAAGCCTAAAATATGTATCATCCAGGTCTTTGCAGAAAAAGTTTGCCATCCCTCATTTTGATCGTTATCATTCAACCTAATTATCAATATGGCTGAATTTAAATCTCTCATTTTATTATTTTTTGTTTGTCCCCTCTGTTTTTATATTCTTCTGTTGACTTCTTTGGGATTATTTGAATAATTTTAATATTTTACTTAATTTATCTATTGGCTTTTTAGTTATACCACTTCTCATTACTTTTTTTAGTGGTTGCTATAAAGATTACAATATACCTAACATTTCACAGTAAACTTAAAGTTAACAGTGTCTTACTTCACATAAAAGGAGGAAAGCTTGCAACCATATAGCTTTTATTCGTTTCCACCATCCTTCATGTTAAACTTGCCAATGTATTAATATGATATCATTTTTCCTTTAAATAATTATATATGTTTTAATTATATATGTTTTAAGAGGAAAGAATAGCCTTTTACATTTATTCAGATAATGTATATTTCTAACACTCTTCATATTCATTTGTGAATTTCCAAGTTTCTTTCTGAAATTATTTTCCTCCAACCTGAAAAGCTTCTTTTAGCATGTCTTGTATTGTAACATTGCTGGCAGTGAATACTCTTGGTTTTCCTTCACCTAAAAATTTATTTCACTTTCATTCTCATAGGACATTTTTGCTGAATATAGAATTCTAAGTTCTTTTCTCCCCAACTGTTTAAAAATATGCTTTCACTATCTTCTGAAAAGTAATCTTTGTAATTTCTGAGAAGTCCACAGTCATCCAAATATTGTTCCCTGTATATAATGTGTCATTTTTCTCTGGCTGTCTTCATAATATTTTTATCTTTATTTCTAAGGGATTTGATAATGATACTCATTAGAATTGGAATTTACCTTTTGGGGGGTTAGCTGAGCTTCTTAAATCTATCTTACATCTTTCACCAAATTTTAGAAGTTGTGTGCTATAATTTCTTCAAATATTAACCTGCCCCATTCTCTCACTTTCTTCCTTCTCTTCCTAAGACTTAAATTATCTTTATGTTAGACCTTTTGATATTGTTTTACAGATCCCTGAAATTCTCTTCATTTTATTCAAGTTTTTTCTCTCTGTTCTTCAGATTGAATAGTTCTTTGGCTCTGTTTTTAAGTTCACTGGCTCATCTGTCATCTATATTCTGCTAGTAAGCCCATCCAGTGATTTTTTTTAATCTTTCAGTGATAATATATCTACTTGATTCTTTTCTATATTTTCTATTGCTCTTCTATTTTCTATATATTCTTTCATTTCCAGTGTATTTTCCTTTACTTCATTGAGCATAGTTATTATAGCTTCTTTAAAGTGCTTGTCTGGTAATCCCACCACTGGATCACCTTGGAATTGGCATCTGTCCATTGTCTTTCCCCTTTAGAATGGGTTGCATCTTCTAGGTTTTCTGTAAGTGGGATAATTTTAGACAACCTTGGATACTGTTAATATTATATTGTGTAGACTGAGTTCTACTATATTCCTATGATGAATGTTGATGCTTTTGTTTTAGCTGGCAGTTAACATGTTTAGATTCAAACTGTAAGCTCTCTCTTGCCTTCTGTGGCTGATAGGTCATAGCTCAGATGAATTCTTTAAACTTTTGCTGCCTGACTTTGAATTTGTCCTATAAATACATGTTTCAAGGGTCAGGCTACTTCTTTGATTCCACAAAGACAGTGTAATTTCTATCAGAGTTTTAAGCATTCCTGCACTACCACAGCTAGGGCTATGGCTGTAATTGCCATTGGGTCAAAGTTGAAAAAAAGACCCATTCCATGTTGGTCACTTGCTCCAAGTTTAGACTCTTCTCCAAATTCTTCCTGTCTTTGCTTAGTCTCCAGAGCTTTTCAGGTAGTTGTGGGGTATTTTAGTTTTTTGTTTGTTTGTTGAGGAAGGGGGAGCTTGTATTTTGTTCATAGTATACAGTTATTTGAGGATTTATTTTTAAGGGTCTCCTCCTGCATATAGGAAGCAGAGCTTCCTTTTTAAAAAATAATATATGTATTTAAAGTGTTATCACATACAATTATACGTGCAGTATTTTCATTTTATTTAATTAAAAATAATTTCTAATTTTCACTGTGATTTCTTCTTTTACGAGTTTTTAGACATTATTGACATAAATTAGTAGATATTAAATTTTATAGTTATCTTTTGGGTTCTAAGTCAATTGTACTTGGCTTAATAGCACATACTTTGCATGATGTCAAACCTTTGAAATGTGTTGACTTGTTTTATGACACAGCATATGGTTAATTGTAGTGAATGTATTATTTAAACTTGAAAAAATGTTTATTCTGGAATTATTAGAAAATGTTCTCAATATATCCATTAGGCCAGGCTTGCTAAACAAGTTGTTCAGGTTTTCTAACATGATTGTGAATTTGCCTTTCTCCCATAGTTTGGTGAGTTTTTGCTGTATATATGTGGTTGAGGATATATCCTTAGGCACATATGAATTTAGAATTTTTATGTATGTCTGGTAAATTGTACTTTTTTATTTTAAAGAGTTGTGTTATGAACTCTGACTACTCTGTTCAAGTTTTTTGTAGCTATACCAGATTTATTTCAGTTAATATTTAAGTGGTATATCTTTCTCTATCTTTATTACTTTTAACTTTTCCCTATCCTTACATTTTAGATGTGTTTCCTATAAATAGCATATAATTGAGTTTTGCTTTTTTTCATTAGTATTCAAATCTGGTAAGCTTTTAACCATTTACATTTGATATAATTAATGATATATTTTGGTTTAAATCTCTTGATTTGCCATGTGCTATCTATTTGTCCTGCGTGTTGTGTTTCTTTCCTCTACTTTTTGCCTTTTTTGTCACTCCTCTTTTCCCTCTATTAGCTTAGAAGTTGTATACTTTTATACATCTTTTTGGTTTCTTTTTAAAGTGATTTTTTTAATGAAAGACCCATATTTTTTAAAGCAGTTGTAGTTTTATAGGAAAATTGAGCAGAAATTACAGTGAGTTCCCATTTTCCTCCTTATTCTTACCCTATCCCCTACCACTAATTTCTCCTATTATTCTCCTATTATTAACATCATACATTGGTATGGTACATTTGTTACAAATCAAAGAGCCAATATTGGCCAGGCGCGGTGGCTCACGCCTGTAATCCTAGCTCTCTGGGAGGCCGAGGCGGGCGGATTGCTCGAGGTCAGGAGTTCGAAACCAGCCTGAGCAAGAGCGAGACCCCGTCTCTACTATAAATAGAAAGAAATTAATTGGCCAACTAATATATATAGAAAAATGAGCCAGGCATGGTGGCGCATGCCTGTAGTCCCAGCTACGTGGGAGGCTGAGGCAGAAGGATTGCTTGAGCCCAGGAGTTTGAGGTTGCTGTGAGCTAGGCTAACGCCACGGCACTCACTCTAGCCTAGGCAACAAAGCGAGACTCTGTCTCAAAAAAAAAAAAAAAAAAAAGAGCCAATATTGATACATCGTTAATAACTAAAGTCCACAGTTTACATTAGGATTCTCTCTTTATGTTGTACATTCCATGTTTTTTGACAAATGTATAGGACATGTACCTACCATCACAGTATCATACAGAATGTGGTCTCTACACTAATAGTCCTCTTCATATTTGTAATGGTTCCCCTAGAAATTGCAACATGTATCTTTGACTTATCAAAGTCTAAATTATTTTTGCCAACTTAGTACAAGGACTTATGTATTTTAAATCTCTATACATTTTAACCACACAAATGTGGTGATTTTAAGTAGACCAAAATTGCAAATGGAAAAAAAAATTCTTTTTTATTCTCCTTAGGTACAGGAAATGATGAGAAAAAGAGAAAAACCGGAATACTGGGAAGAATGAATCTCTCTTCGGTATTGTTTACAATCATCAGTGTCTAAGACTATGTTCTGTTTTCCAATCTGAAAAATGGTATTCGATTAAGCACTGGTGGTGAATGTGTTCTTACTTTTTAAGTAAAAATCTATAGCATATCTTTGTAAAATTCACATAACAGTTACAGATATCTCTGGCTAATCATACAAAAATATACACATTATACTTACCCATGCATTGGTATTTCAGTACTCACTCCACTAAAGCCCTGAACAATAACAAGTTCACAAATCCTAAAGAGGATAAAGAAAATACTATCAGCAATTTATATGTACTTCTCATAAAGCATACAAATATATCATGTCTCCAAACTGTTTACAGAATTCTCACTCAGAAAATGTGTGGAAAATAACTTATAACAGCACTTTTTTTCTCTTAATGAAAGATTGTCATTGTAATATCTGTTTTGTATTTCTTAATACCTTCAACATATTTTTGTTGTTTTCCTCTTTAATCCTGCTTGTCACACTTTGCCATTAGTGGATGTGATTTAATCTTTACTTAGGAATACCTCGCTTCTGATTTTTAACCTACAGCAAAACTCAAATGTGTTATACTACTCTGTACACACCTGTGAGTGAGGCAGAATGTCACTTTCTCATTATCTTTATCCCCTGAAGAGTATCTACATCCTGTGGAATGTATAACCAGTCCAACTGGTATTTTAAAGCAAAAAGTTTTAACTTGGTCCGTCTGGTATGAGAGTGTCTGCCCAGAAATCATAACTGAGATGATCATCTGATACTACTTTTGTGAGATGAACTTTCCATTTAATTTCTATTTGAACATTAAAGGAGACACGATTCTTATATTGTTTAGCTGATGACTTGGTAGGATTCTGTGGTTGCATTAAAATGAATTAAGCTTCTGTTTGAATAATCACACACAAACCTTATCTTTTTATATATATCTGACTTTCATTTTTTCATAATTTTCAAAAAAATTTCCTTATAACTGCAAAGTTTATTTAGTTTTTTTTTCAGTTGTCCACAGAATGTACGTGTGCTCAGACTCAATAAACGCTCTCATTGAACAGATAAGGAGCTCGTCTGTTGATTGTGGGCTGGCAAAACAAGGTGAAAGTGGACGAACCTATGGGAAGAGTTTGAGTGATGTGACTAAGGTTATAACTAATCCATTGGTTGAACAAAATAACCCAAAGCTGGAAAGGCCAATAATATTATTAGTGATCAAAACCTCAAGTGTTATCAACGATTAAATTAAGTATTAAATTTAGTTCACTGCTTTTCAGTCCTAATACCAGGCAGGTTTTGCATGTTCCTTAAAGCAGAACGCCCGAGATCCAACCACACCAGCCACTTCAGCCTTTTGCATTGGCTTTTTGGGATGCCTTTCACAACCGTCATTTTTGACCTTTCATAATGAGGCAGTGGACCAAGGGGATGGGCTTGGTATGGTCCAGTGATCCTGTCTGAACACGTTTGTTTGAGAGAGAAGGGTGAAAATGGAGATCAAGCTTCATGTGCAGTGACTCAGACTCTCCACAAAAAGAGCTATCTAGTGTAGAAGATCAATCGGCTAAAATTACATTCAGTTCTCAGTTCTTAAGAGGAAGGAAGCAATCCCAGGCCAGGAGTGAGCACTAAAGGTGAGAATCTGGGTGGAACTAGTTGTCAAACAGAAGAGGAAGAGGAGTCTCAGAGTTGACCCTTTCAGAGTAAAACTGACAGAGGACTTGGATGGCCATGTAGAGTCAAAATGGGGAATAAAATTTTCAATGTCATAATAATCAGAGATCAAAAGGCATAACCGCCCTTGAAGGAATCCTTCAAGGATGCTTATGAAGAAGGAATTATTCATATAGATATGAGATATGAGGTATATGTTTCAGGTGTTGCTAAATGAGATAATATTTGTAAAAGCACTTAGAAAAGTGCTAGACATTGGTAGCCCTAATTATTTTGGTAGTATTATTATCAACAGTAGTAATATCAGATTTTACGTGAGCAATTCTGATCACCCTCCCTCACTACGTTTTTTAGCCACCCTGATATCTGCACAGTAATAGACAGCAAAGCTACTAGAGCAGTTTTCCTGGGTCTATCCTCTCCTTCTTCCATCTAAAGAATAAATATGACATCATTGGTCATTAGGGAAATGTAAATCAAAACCACAATGAGATACCACCCCACACTCACTAGGAAGGCTATAATAAAAAAGACAGACAATAGTAAGTACTGGTAAGGATTTGGAGAAATTGGAACCCTCATATACTGCTGGTGGAACAAAAAGTGGTACGGCCACTTTGGAAAACAGTTTGGCAGTTCCTCAGAAAGTTAGATACTGTATTATCAAATGACCCAACAATCCTACACCTTGGTATATAGTCAAGAGAATTGAAAACATATGTCTACACAAAATGAAAACATATGTCTACACAAAAACTTGTACATGAATGTTCATAGAGGCATTCATAATAACCAAAAAGTAGAAACAACCCAACTGTCTATCAACTGATGAATGTATTCTTAAAAATGCAGTATATACGTACAATAGACTATCATTCAGCCTTAAAAAGAAAGGGAACCTTGTCACATGCTACAACATAGATGCACTTTGGGGACATTATGCTAGATGAAATAAGCCAGTCACAAGAAGACAAATATTATATGATTCACCTCCATGAGGTATCCTAAAGTAGTCAAATTTGCAGAAACAGAAAGTTGAATGCTGATTACCGGGGACTTAGGGGAGGAGAAATGAGGAGCTAGGTAATGAATTTAGACTTTCAGTTTTGCACAATAGAGATCTGTTACACAACAATGTGAATATACTTAACACTACTAAACTGTACCCTTAAAAGTAGTTATAATGGTATGATATTTTATGTTATGTGCTTTTTACCACCATAAAAAAATTTCTTTAATTCAAAATGAAAAAAATGTGATATATCCATACAATGGAATATTATTCAGCAATAAAAAGGAATGAAGTGCAGATACATGACTATGACACGGATAAGACCGGAAAAATACTATGCTAAGTAAAATAGGCCAGACACGGAAGGCCACATATTATCATTTCATTTATATGAAATGTCTAGGATAGGAAAATCCACAGAAGCAGAAGTAGATTAGTGCTTGTCAGGGCCTGGAATGGGGTGGTAATGGGAAGTGATGCTACTGGGCATGAGGTTTCTTTTAGGAGTGATGAAAATATTTTTGAATTAGATATTGGTAATGATTGCAAAACTCTGAATATTCTAAAAAGCACTAAATTGTACACTTCAAAAGGGTGAATTTTATGGTATGTGAATTGTATATTAATAAGGCTATTTTTAAAGAAATGTGGAGGTTAATATTTTTAAGTTCCACCTTATGACAAAGAAGAGGAAGGAGAATAGCTGTGAAACTCAGAAACAACAGAAACAGGAAGACCTAAGCCTCCCAGGAGAATTATCCTACTATTTCCCCCACTCTTTACAAATTCCCTGTTTCACTGTTTGGTCTCTTGCATATACTTTTAACAAATCTATTGTATTTATTTATTTTTTTTTTTAGAGACAGGGTGTCATTCTGTTGCCCAAGCTGGATAACAGTGGCACAATCAGAGCTCACTGCAGCCTCAAACTCCTGGGCTCAAGGGATTTTACCATGTCAGCCTCCTGAATAGATGAGACTACGGGCATGTGCCACCACGCCTGGCTAATTTAATTATTTTTTATAGAGATGGGAACCTGCTATGTTGCTCAGGCTGGTCTCAAACTCTGGCCTTAAATAATCCTCCACCTCAGCTTCCCAAAGCCTTACGATTACAAGTGTGAGCCACTGCACTCAGCCTACTTTATTGTTTTAAATTAACCTCCTAATATTTCTTGACTAGTAACTCATTCTCAGCTTTACTCACCCACGCTTCTCCACCTATCTTCTTTTGCTCTTATGTCATTAACCTTGATATTAATTCTATTCAAACCCACCTATACTCATATTTAAGTTGTGAGTATGCAAGTGTAATTATGTCTGTTGGTGTTTTTGTGCTAATCTGTGCCTAGAAATATTTGTCTGTACAGGGGTGTGGACAAGTGTGGTTCCAGGTGACTGTGTATCTCTGCTTGAATATTTACGTCAATTATTTGGTTGGGAACATTAAAAGGACAAAACATCGAGAGAACTGTGTTTTTATGAATGGCAAACAATATTAGTGCATCAGTGCCTCATTAGGGTCTCAAAAGGCTATTTTTTTTCTTGTGGTGTTGGCAGAATTTGCAATAAAATAACACCAGATGGAGAGCGGTAGTGTGGTCTATTACTATGGACAGCTAGGATTACAACAGTCAGAGTTAAATTGTCTGCCTAATTCTATGTTGATGTTTTTTTTAGAAAAAGAAATTCTCCTCAAACTCCATTAAAATTACAATAAATATTTACAAAAGGAAGTAAATCTACTAAAATACTCAAAGCAGGAGGGAGAGAGACTGGAGATTTCTATGATTTCTTTAAACAGAAAGCAGATGGGATAGCAATGACAGGTGAACTAGGGCATAAGCCACAGTTCAGAGTCCACAAGGGTAGCTAAGTGAAGGCAGAGCCTCAGAGGGAAGGAGATACCCATATAGAGAAAAGAGTGAGCCGTGAGTATCTAAAGAACTTCTCTTTCCTAATGACCCTAACACTGTTTTAGTCACCTACCACCAGCTACACCTAGTCATCACAAAAACTGCCCCACCTATGAAATAATTCACATAAACAAATTACACTACCAGAAATTACACTGAACTTGAAGAATGTTATAGGTAAAATTTGTGTCAAACTTTTATAGTAAGAAAAAAATTAGAATAATTCTTCAGGGATCGGATCAAGATGGTGGACGACAAACACCGCCAGACAGAGTGTCTCTGCAGAAAAGACAGATTCTAGCAGAAATTAGAAAAAAGAAGCAAGAAGACGAGCAACAGCAGATGAGGGCCAGAAGGAGGGGTACCTGAGACCCCGGGAGACTCCACGGGAGGAGGCTGCGGAGGAGAACTGGAAGCTGGAGACGCCGAGCAGCCAGGAGACAGCGGAAGGGTAGGTGGGATAAATCACCTTTCCCTCCCCTGCATTTGGGACTGCTGGTGGCTCCCAGCAGGTGAGAGACCTGCGCGACACCAGGCCAGAGCGCCACCGCGCAGCTAGTGGTGAGCCTGTAGCGGACGCGCACCAGACTCCCAAATCCCTCAGGGCACCTCCGTGTGCACAGACCGAGCCACGCGGCAGGCGCATATTGCCTCCTCCTCCTCCCCGCCAACCTACCCACGGCCTGTCCAGAGAGACAATACACCACCAGCCAGAGGCACCTCCAGGGAATGGGACATTCCCTTTTGGACCTACAGCTGACTCAGGGAACTCAGACTGTGAGCTCCCTACCCGCCAGCCCTCCCAGGTGCTGCTGGCAGGTGTTCCAGAGAACGGTGCCGACTCAGAGGCTGAGGAGACACAGACCCAGCTTGGGCTCCCTGTGGGTGAATTGGGACCAGAACTCCTCTCCCTGGTGGGGATACAGTTTGAACTCTGGGACCCAGAGGTCGGACCTGCAGACCAGATCCCGTGCACCGAGGTCTAGTTGCTGGGTACAGAAGGGATATTGTGAACAGCCTGCTAAGGTGTGGTGCCTCCAGGGGCAGATCAGTCCTAGGGCAACCCTCCCCCCAAAGGGGAGCCGTGCGCCCAGCCCAGGTGGCATTCCTGCACAGGGAACCTCCTGCCGGCATCACAGTCCGGGAAGCCTGGGGTTGTGGTCTGGCCTGCTGGCAGAGGCCCAGGGAGTAGCTGTGGAGTTGGGAGGGTGGAAGAGCAGAACCCACTCCAGACTGCGGCGTCTCAGACAGCCCCACCCCAAAGCAGACTTTCTGGCTGAGCGGACTATCCAGCCCCGCCGACAAG